TCATTACTTCTATGGTTATATCATATGAATGAGGGAATCGACTGTATGTTAAATGAAACATTTTGACTAAATGAGGTGTTGGATGTGAAACAAAAAACTATATTTCCTTAGAATATCTACTTTTGCATTAAATGTATATAGCCGAGAGAGGTTTAGTAAAAGCTCCGAGGCACGCAGCGCGGAGGGAGTTTTACTAAACCTCTCGAAGCTTGAGGGAATTTCATTACTAATCAACCGTTATCAGTGCCATGCCATCACTTTGTAATATCATAGAGACACTATGTTTTGTTGTTATATACAATATACCGAGACAATATACCGAGACAATAAAACGGTTTCATTTGTTTGAATAAGTTGAAATAAAATGGCGCGTTTATTTTTCGATAGTAATGACCATGGGATGTTCGTTAATAATTAATGAGGTTACGGTTGATTTTTCATGTTTGATAATTAAATACTTAATTAAATGGTATCAATATAAGATCGTCGTCATCAGTTTTAGCAATGAGGTAAATTGGTCATTAATCGTCCTACGCGAAACAAAGGATTTCGAGGTAGCTATGATATCATTACAGTAAGGAATTATTGTATACGTATTTGCTGATCTATATCATTGGATAAACTACTGTACTGCTTGTAACTTTGTGATTTTTATTATTCAACTGCATTCTACGTTATTATTATATATCCAACTTCTTTTTTTCGTCATAGTCTTCCTTATTCATCCGGTCTTTTACGATATATCCTGGACCTGAGAAATACAGATTTCATTACTGAAACTCTTTAAAAAAATACCAGAAATGCATTAAGGTCCATACACACCGGGTATGCACGATTCGACAACTCGACGCGATTTTTTAGTATTTGAAAGTCAATAAAACAGCCAATAAAAGCAAATTTTAAAAGATATGTATACCAAATAATTCAAAATGTTGTAACGCTTCTAAATATTTGGAAAATTTAAACTAGGTTCAAAGTTATCGTTCAGTGAAAATCGAAAAATCGCGTCCCATTGTCGAATCGTGTCCGGTGTGTATGGATCTTGATGAGTTTACAAGTGATCAGGCAAGGAAGCAAGCTTACGTAAGTGATCAAGAATTGTGTGCTACACCATTAATTATTCCTTCTCCTTTTAGTAGGCTTGTTCTTATAAGAATTAAATAAATACACTTCTTTCTGATAAATACTTTTAACAAAGAATGGAAAATTGAAAGACGTTTTCGTTAATATAACATTCGACAAAATTCGCGGCGAGGATTATTCCGTAGGTATACGTGGCAATATGGCGTTGGTTATCAACTTATCGATTCCGAGAACTCAATATGATTTGTACTCTGCATGCATATAATTACGTTTTTAGACGGTATTGTTAACATTTAGTGTTCACGTTATTAATAGAAGTATGGTTATATGCAGGCTACATGTAAATGAGTCAATCGCTAGTAAAAAGAAAAGTATAAGGAGTAAATATAAGGAGTTAGAGGTGAGACCAAATATGGGAGTATTTACACAAAGTATCTCCAGCGTTATTAAATAATGTTTCAATCAAATAATCATTATTACATGTATACAAAATTTCCGATTATTTTGAACTCATCAACATCAACAAGTTCTGTGATTGGTTTACAAATGAAACACTATAAAACTGAAGAATAAAATTTTTAACGAACGAACCACAAACATTTATCACTTGTATTTGAGCAAGTCATTCACAGAACATGCTCAAATTATTTTGTTTCGTCGCAAACCATTTATGCTCATTTCAAACGTCGCGCTTATCATGAACTAGACTTGTTCCAAGTCTCTCTCAAATTTAGTTTTGATACGGTCTATCCAGTAAATTATGAGATCAGTGCATGGCTTGGAAGGAACAACTGATCTCATAACGCGCTATCAAAAGTCTAACATGAACCGAAACTAACATCAATGACCTAAACTCAATATTTCAGCTCCTTGGCTTGGGACATGAAAACATGTGAACTAGGTTTTCGTCTCCCGTCTCTAATAATAGGCCTTGACCGATTGTGCTGGTAAAATCCCAAAAAGTTGCCAGTTAAAATGCCAAAAGTTGCTGCGTAAATGCCAAAAGTTTCTAAAATTTTGCCAAAAATACAAAAAGTTGCTACCTAAACATCAGTTACACCTACTTGCTACCCAAATTTCACGTTATTTTCACGCATATTTAATTAAAAGCGTCTATATTTTTAAATAACTGTCAAATAATACCTTTCAAGAGTCAAGATAAATTTCTTCAAATTTGGACAATAAAAAGTTTTTAATAAATCGTTCGCATCAATACATTTAAAAAAAACTGTGCTATGAAACAGTAACTGTAACATTCGCTCTCTGTTTCTGATACCGTCGGACGATTCGTCTAGGTCCTCTGATTCGGCCATGCGTCAAATTAATTAGCAATTTAAATTTTTAAAAATGAGGACGCCATTTGGTTTTATGGTGGAACACATGAACAGGCACCCAAAAGCGTAATACTAATAAGTTAACGGTCATCAGCCGCAACACGCGGTCATAACGTGAAGGGGGTCGTGACGTGATGGGCTCCTGTGAATAATCATCATGAAACAAACATTAGAAAGTGTTTTTATTATCAAAAAGTTTGATTTTGGCTTAATTCTGCAAAAATTTGCTAAAAAATTACTCTGAAAAGCAAATGTTGCTTGAAGTGAAAAAATTTGCTCCGAAAGCAAAAAGTTGCTAAAATGTTGCCGAGCACAATCGGTTAAGGCCTATCTAATAAGTCTTTCTATAATATACTCGTGCATAATAAGTCAAAATCCAACCTCTAATAAACCCTCTCTCTAATACGTCCATGCCATTCTCTAGTATGTCCCCTATTAAATACACCCCCTCTCTAACTAGCTCCGAGCTCTCCCTCTAAAACTCCCTCAATTCTAATATATGCTCGTCCATAATAAGCATTCTGACCTTTATCACGCGGGTTTTCATCTTCTGAAGATTGTTATTGTTTTCCAGCTCCTGAAGTGATATTTTGTGTTGTAGGGTTTGGGCTATTTTGTGATGTAGGTTTTGGGCACAGTTCTGGTTCAGCATTCTTTCCATTAAAAGCCTTGCATGAAATATCACTTGTAAGGTTGACAAACGTCACTTTATTATTTATCAAAGTAATTTGATTTGTAGACGTTTTGTTTTTTAACGCCACACTCCCAGGCAAACACTGTTTGTACGCTAGATATGTTGACGGTCGGACAGCGTCGATATGCGTGAAACGGTATCTTTGTTGAGGTTTGCAAACATGACTGTGACACCGATGTATTACATTGACCGGATTTTTCGTACAGTTTACACTGTAATCAGCTTTTGACACTACAAGCGAAATTCATACAGAATAAGGTTACGGTGTAATAATCACCTTGCAGTTGAGATCTGAATTACGTAAAACATCGTTGAGTCGAAGGCTGCCTAATGCGGCTCGGGTTGTTGCCATGGAACGCAGCAGGAACGGTTACTTTTTTGTAAGAGAGGAAAACCCGGGGCAGAGATCGAAGAAAATCCCTCGATGTACAGGAAAGAATCAAGCACAGCCCGTTTTCCAACGGGCGAATTTTTCTCTCGCAGCTGCTTTATCCTTTGTCAGGATTACTCATGACATCAGCAAGAGGGATGCCGACAAAGACGCATCGCGTGAACAAATTCGCCAGGTGGAAACCGCGCTTTATATACGAGCTTTCAAGCGCATCAAGTAATACCCTAGCTAACCCTGAGATTTTCAGTATAGCAGTTTAGCGTGCAGTGATGGGGGGAAAGCTTCCGCGTTCTCTTGGTTATATTGTCCTCATCCTAAATAATATATGAACATGTTTTCTGACTATCACAATAAAACAACGGAAATAACTTTCTAAAAATCAAAAGACTATGGACTAACCTTCGTTTTTAGTTATGGTTTGATACAGAGTAGTACCCCTGAACTTGAGGGTTCCACATTTACAAGACGTGTGATTATAAACCACATATTTATAAAACTTCGTTTTATTGGTAGAATTCCGAACTTTTCCGTTTGTTATATCCGGAACCACTATTTCAATTTTTTCAATATTTTCCGGAACAGGGTACCCAGACGGTCCACTGCTAGGGCATTCGCCGAAGTCAACTTCAACACAGCGATAAACGTCGATGAAATATTGAGGTCTGGATGGTGGAGTGGCAAATGCATCATTGTATATTGAAACCACTTCTCTTTGTGGTCCTAAAACAAGATAATCAAGTATTGGTAGGTTTGCGTGAACCATATTTCTTTATTTTCTTCTAGATACAAGACTACTATACATATAATGAAAAAGCTGGTTCCCCACCATCTGTTACACACTAGTGATGAGTGAAACCAAATGAAACTACAGATTTATCTATTCATTGGTTAGAATTGTTTCAACTATTATAATACCGTGCAAAAAATATATGCCGTAAAAATATGTAAAGCTTTACGAATTACCTGTAATAGAGTCTACAACTGCTAGCATGATAAGCAATAGCGAAATGTTCAGCGCAAAGTGTTTGAGGTTTAAAATCTTGATATCTAAAGAACATGGATAAAAAAATTAATTTTATCCAATCTTCTAAATTTATCAATTAAACTATATATAATTCAGCACTAGATGATGACACATGTATCCTGTATAATGTTTCCTACTATCTAATGTCATGTCTCTGGTGTCTAAGATACACGAGGTTCGTATTGTCGCTAATAGTGTATACCCAGATTTCATTTCTGCAACGGAAACATGATTACAAAATCATGTTTATTCTAATCTGATTGTTGAATTAGACGGTTCACCATTGTGCGGAAAGACAGACAAGAGGGCACACATGCAGGCATTTGTTTGTATATTAAAGACATTCAGTTCTCTGTCCTGGAAACTCTGTCAAACTCACTTTCTGAAATCTAACTTGTTTGTCAGAATATGTCAAACATTTATCACCCATCGAATGCGAACAACTTCGAAATGTTGAACTATTTAACAGAAACTCTATATCAATGGACGACTTGCGCTTCAGAAAAATTTTTAATCTGGGAATAACAAAGGATATTTTCAGAAAGAAGTTATCAAAATTAGAAAAACAGCAAAGTTTGGTTGCGAAATGTTGTAAAATACGGAAAATATAGTCCTGCGAAGTTGGCAAATTTGTATACATTTCTATCACGTGCGGAAATTGGTAACTAATTTTGTTACCAATTCACGCACGTAATACAAAAGTATACAAATTTGCCAACTTTGAAGGGCTATATTTTCCGTATTTTACAACATTTCGCAACCAAACTTTGTAATATTACTAATTCCAAAACGCTCTTTCTAGCTGTGGTGAGAGATTTCGTTGTTCTTACTTAGATTAAAATTTAATCTAAAGCGCAAGTCGTCCATTATCGAGGCGAGCAATATTGGTTGCGGTATTATTATTCTGGGTGATTTTAATCAACTAAATATTAGAAGATTAAATACCAATTTTAACCTAAAACAAATTGTCAACTTTCCCACCCGTGGTCAAAATGCTCTCGATTTAGTGCTGACTATAACTTAGACAAGTTCTATGTCTCCGTTTGGCTTCTCTGATCATGTAACCATTGTAGTGAAACCTAAAAAGACGAGGACAGAACTAGCCAGGTTGCTATATCAATTATAAATTCGAGATATATGCGACCAAGTAAACGTTATGGAACAAGAAGATCCTATCTGGAACAAATAAACTTTTCAAATGTAATTAACTCGGTGCAATCATGTGACGATAATGTTTCGACCATGGAAATGATTGTTAAGATTGGCCTCGATTTTATGATGCCCTGGCAAATAAGGACTGCTATATCAAATGAGCCAGTGTGGACTGTGGATCACTTTCTCTTTGAAAGATCATATTGGAAAACGACAAAAAGCTTTGAATAGTGGAAACTTTCAAGAATTCAAACGGCTTCGTAATTGCGTAAATCGAGAGCGGAAGAATGTCGCTCTAAATATTACGAAGCGGAAGGTCGAACATCTAAAAAGTTGCAGGTCATATATATCCGACTGGTGGAGAGAAGTCAAGAAATTGAGTGGAATGAACCCAGCTTTCAATTCCAAAAATGAGGTGTATAAGTCGCTAGAAAATCTAAATGAGACGGCTACCACTACCAAACATCTTGCTAATATTATCAATGGAAACTGGTTAAATTACTCGAGAGCCGTTTGTTCTTCCAAGTATTTTAAATTATAAATGTGAACAAATATTTTGCCTCAATAGGACATAATTTAAACTCGGAACAAATACGGCACAACCCGACAGTCACTTTACTGATTACCTGAAATATACCCAAATTCGAGGGTCTTTTTTGTACTGCAATTATATCCTCAGAAGTAGAATCTGAAATACTATATCAATACCAAATAGAAAGAAATCCCACGGCTTATACTTGTGTCCCACCAAAATTTTAAAATGTGTAAGGAGTTTCATTAGCAAACCAATAGCTGAAATTATCAATATTTCTATTCAAAGAAGTGTTTATCCTTCCATCCTAAAGCATGCTAAAGTGATTCCTAAAACGGGATGTGACAGAAAGCGACAATTACAAACCGTTTTCATTGTTATCTAACTTAAATTAAATTTTCGAAAAGGTTCATGTATAAACGTTTTATAATTTTTATCGAAAATAAAAATATTTTGCACCATTCACAATATAGTTTTAGACAGCAATACTTAATACAACACGCAATTCTTGATATAGTCAATAAGATACAAGCAAACATTGACAAAAAAATTTACTTGTGGTATATTTATTGATTTAAAAAAAACCGTTTGACACATTTGACCATACAATCTTATTACGTAAACTTCAATATTGGTTTTCATCATATCTGACAAACCGCTTTCAAACAACACAAATTAAATCTAACATTTCAACAAAGGAGAAAACACTTTGTGGAGTACCACAAGAATCAGTACTCGGTCCTTTGCTTTTTCTAATCTATATAAACGATATTCCGACCGTTCCTCAGATAAATTTAATTTTCACCTGTTTGCTGATGATACTAACTTGTTATATTCTGATAAAAATCCTAAAACACTCGAATATACTGTGAATGTGACCTTCTTGAATTTGCAGTACAATATGGCGGAGATCGCTATTAGTCAAGCTCTTAAAAAGATTGAAATCTTTGTTGAGGGCTTTCTTTCGTCCCCAAATGGAGATTCGTATAAACTGGTGGAGTATTTAGTCGCTGACGAGGGGAAATTAAAGTGGTTGGGCTCTCTGGAGGACTTAAAATTGTTTATAGAATCTTCGCTTCGCATCGACGGTAGGTGGTCATCACCGGGTGGCAACGCCAAAAAATTTGAAGAGCAATATTTGAAGGTTTAACAAAAAAGCGCCGCATTCTCCTTTTTTTTTTCAAAATTCGGACGAGAAACTACTAATTTTTTTTACTTTGCCTTATATAGTGTTGTATAGTCTTGTAGGCCTATAACATTGTATAGTGTCGTATAGCTTTATATATTGTTGTATAGTCTTGTATAACGATGTACTCGGTCGTATAGTGTTGTATAGTGTTGTATAGTCTTGTATAGTCTTGTATAATGTTGTACATGTAGTGTTTTATAGTTTTGTATAACATTGCATAACATTGTACAGTGTTGGATAGTGTCGATAGCCTTATTATAGTATACAAATAATGAATGTTTATGAGTGCAATGGTAAGAATATTTTCATGAGGTGAAAGATGGAATGTTCCATTCAACGAGGCGACAGCCGAGTTGAATGGAACATTCCATCTTTCACCGCATGAAAATATTCTTACCATTGCACGAATAAAAACATTCATTATTTGTTTTATATAATAGCTCCCGCCATTTTGACGAGTCGTGTATTTGCATTAAATCCCATTTACTGAGTTTCGAATATCGGGTTAAAATAAACTGCGATCACCGTACGAGAAACATTTTGACGAATACGATTTATCGAAAACACAGAGAGTGCAATGGAATAAAACGTAGAGTACAATTGCACTCGCAAGAGTGCAATGGAACGTATTCCATTGCACTCTTGGGAAATGGAATTTTCTATTCAATATCACGTGACCATAAATAGCCAATTAAACGATCAGAATTCAATAAGGTATTATATAATATTGTATAGTCTTGCCTTGTATAACGTTGTATATAGTGTTGTATAGTCTTGTATAGTGTTGTAAGTTTATTAATAAATTCTCCTACTAACAAGATATGTAACTTTTAATTAACAGTTCTTTGTAAAAAAACATTATACAGACAGACAGGATATATAATGTTAACGTTATGTTTCCATTATTAATAGTGTTAATAGTCATTGGCTCTTCGCTCTTATGTTAATCCGTTATTAATAGTATTATTAGCTGTGAGTCATTCTAGGTTATTACTCTGGAAGTGATCACACTTGACTTTGTGTCTAAAGACGGTTTTCCACTAGGCGGAATTTTGGGCGCGGAGCGGAATTTTCCTTTGTCTTTTCAAATTAGTTCCACCCAAGTTCCACCCGAGAAATCACAAGACAAAGAAAAATTTCGCTTCGCGCGCAAAATTCCGCCTAGTGGAAAACCGGCTTAAGAATATTGCAAAATTCCGCAAATTAATTACCTTCTTGACAAATTTTAATAAGCCGTGGAATGACCCAGAATTACTTAATTTCTATTACCTACTATTGTTTGGAGTGCTCAGAAAATGGACCTGTTTCATCACAGAGAACTGTTTTCTTAATTTTAGATAATTAGAATATTGTTGTTATATACAGGGTGTATAAAAAAACTGAACATGCAGATTTGAAATTGCTCTCAATTTTGCAAAACAACTATTAGTATCCAGTTTTTGATAGATATAGTTTCTTTGGGTACTTATAATTTAGAATAATAAGAAAATTCTCGAACTGAAATTTTGTAAACCAGGGGGGGTCTTTAACAACACACTAAAAATGGCTTGCGCACGAATTTTAAAAGCTTTAATCATATTTTGAGTTGATAGATGGAAAATTTGTTGGGTTTTTAATTACTGTCCAAAATTTCAGACAACTTTCTTTAGTTTAAGCCCTTTAACTATTAATTTTTGTCTAAAAAAATAGCCTTTCGCATGCTTAATTAATGCCTTTACCTAATTTGCATATTGCTGACATATGCAAATTGGGCAAAGTTAATTAACAAAATTAATTAGCATGCAAATAGCTGATTTTTTAAGAAAAAATGTAAGTTTGCGTGAATAGTCAAAGGGCTTAAACTAAAGCAAATTATCTGAAATTTTGTACAGTAATTAAAAACCATCTTGTTTTCCATCTATTCACTTAAAATATGATTACAGTTTTTAAATTTCGTGCGGAAGCCATTTTTAATTTGTTGGAAAAGACACACCCATCTACACTATATAAGTACCCAAAGAAGCTATATACTGTAGATAAAAAACTAGATACTAATAGCTGTTTTGCGAAATTAAGAGCAATTTCAAATCTGTTCAGTTTTTTTTTATACACCCTGTATTTCATTGATTAAAATTTATAATAGCGTTATGTTTCCATTATAGTGTTATTTACTTTTGAATTATCCGCGGATTATAAACAGATTTCGAACAACCTAGCCCAAAGGTTTGGCCGTGTGACAGCACTTTCCTTGCGTTAGTAACTTTTATTGAAATATACTATATGCCCACCTTCGATTAGCTTTTGCCGCTATTTGTGGGAGTAGTGTTTTCTTCATTTATTTATGTATTTTCCAAATAAATTGAATTGCCGAATTATATAAACCCTGTTCATGCAGACATCAGTTAAATAATCGACCTAAACCTTGTGTAACAATTTGAAAAATACAAATTACGAGAAAAAGTTAGGCTACTATACTTTCGAAGAGAAAAGCATCTCAAAATAAATTTCATTTCTTCTTAAAAAATCAACTTACAGGTATGCTAATACAACTTGGCCGATATTGTGAAGATTAGGAATGTTAAATAATAGCAATACCACTGTTAGTGAATCATAAATATATATGTTTGAGTGAATGATGAACAAATGGTCAACTTAATGATCGAGATACATAAAAACATTTTTAAAACTAGGTTAAATTTGCACTCACCCATATTTGTAAACTGGAATGACTTGAAGATCTGTCCTTGTGACTTGTCTCTTTTCGTCCAGGTCAGCAATGCAACTGACTTTCCAACTCACAGGCTTCGTGTTTATATAACCAAAGATCATACAATTTCGAAACCGGATTTTTGTGGTAAGTAGTTGTTTCCACAATATATGCGTAACACGTCGGGTACACGAGACAAAACTACTAGACTAGTAGACAAAGTCGTCTCACCGGATTATGTGGCCGGTCAAGGCCAACGTCAAGGTCAAGGTCAAGGTTAATTCAAACATTGCAAGAATTCACCTTACTTATCTCAGACGAAAATAGAGATTCCGTTGTCACGTAGGACCGGCCCGCTGTATCACCAACGCAATTCACAAAACAGAACTTGCGACGCCCAATATGCAGTGGTGTCTGACGCGTATACATGATTGGATATACGGGATGCATACGTTGTGCTCGCTCCTTTAAAAAGCTGAGTTGAAATTGTAAATGATTATTATTTTTTTCTCATGCAGTCACATGAGAGAAGATTGCCGCCAGTTTAAGGTTACATTATATGATGAAAACACTGATTTCATCATTTTCTACATTTTTATTGATTTATATTCAGGAGCTGGAGATCTCTTGATTGCCGGAAGTTTTTTTTCAAAAATATTAAATTCAAAAATATTGCGTCCAAAATATAACAAAAAAGTTATATAACCACTGATTTTTTTTGCCGCAAAAGTTGTAATTGTAATTAATAATACGTGGCTTGATGTGATACTCCAACCTCGCTTGTCTGTCCGTGGTACACGACAGATCTTCTACTGCATTTTCGTTTGGCCGATTTGGATCGGTCTGTATAGCTATCCCCTTTTTACATTTGCATTTGTACAGCCGAGGGGCGTTTCACTCCAAAAATCCCGTACACTCCAAAAATCCCGTACACCGCCAAAAAATCCGGAAAAAATCCGAACAAATCCGGAGAATCCAACAGATTTTCTCTTCAAAAATCCGCTAAAAATCCGGGGAAAATCCGCTAAATCCGCTAAAAAATCCGCGGATTTTTAAAAATCCGAAAATCCCGGACGCTTCGTCAAAAAATCCGGAACAAATCCGGAAAATCTACCAAATCCGGAAAATCAAACAGATTTTTTCTTCAAAAATCTGCTAAAAATCCGGGAAAAATCCGCTAAAAAATCCGAAAATCCCGTACGCTTTTTTGGAGTGAAATGCCCTTCGGATACAGCGATACAACGATACAGCGACACAGGAACCGTAACCTGAACCTGGAACCGTGCATAATTTATGCAAATTAGAGCATTTTGCACCACAGGAGATATACATAATAATAATTTACGGGGGGCACAATTCAATGATATTATAAAATATTATATGCTACAATTTTCGATAACCACTGAGTATTCTAATAAAATACAAAACAATGGAAACTCCAAAGAAATTCATATTTTTAATTCAACGTTTCGACTACTGTTGATGACTCAACAGTAGTCGAAAGTCAAACGTTGAATTAAAAATATGAATTTCTTCGGAGTTTCCATTGTTTTGTATTTTATATGCCACGTATTTTGATTTTTAACTAACCACAGTTAATAAAACAAAGAATGAACATCGTTTTAGCACTACATATTATGAAATAAAACATGTTTCGTAATTGCGCGGCGATTCTTTTTGTCAGTTTTTATATGACTGCATGTGACGCACTTAATTTATTTAGCCACCGTACTTGATTATGAAATGCCAGCAAACAGAGAAGGAAACCACCGCACACAAAGCAGATTGCGCTGAATTCACTAGCAGTAATTCATGTGCGCTAAAGTAATTAGAGTGTAGTGATGCCGAATACGCGAATATTGTGAATATGCTGCATTCTAAAATATCCGCTTGAACATCAATCACAAATGTAGTATATAGACCACTGACCTTTCGTGATGATTATATTAAGTTTGTTGACAAGTTATGGTCACACTATACGGTAACATTATACCTTAGTAATAGACATGTAGACATAGAGAAGGCGTGCTTTGTCTGGGTTTTGTAGTCAACGTGTAAACATATAAGAGAGACTTTATAAATAGTTATTGAAACGTGTTTGGTGTTTTCAATGATATTACACAAACATGAACGAAGTTATGAAGGTATTAACTTCAACGTCAAAAATACATTTAATAATTTTGTATTATCGGGGTTTAAACTATATAGTAGTACTAGTTTACCCACAGGATGGTGAATGCTGCCTTGGTGTAGCATTGTTCCCAAATCTTTAGTGTTTTAAAGAACAGGAACAAGAATAAGAAATATTTGTAATGAATTGGAATCATCCATAATTTATTAACAACATCCGGACATGGCGACCGACAGACATGCAATCAAGCGCACCTCGCACGAAATTAATAATTCATGTTTAAATTCGCCCTCCAAGTCAGTTAAGTCTAAAAATCAAAAACTTTCAAACACACCGGTAAAGAAAGTTGAAAAAAAAATGTAATGAAAAAACGATGGAAGATTTACACAGCATGATGGAAGTTATGATGACCCAAATGAAGAAGCAAGACAAGCTCGATACCATAAAAGCAAAGTTACAATCGTTCGAAAATGAACTCCAAGGCGTAAAAGACTCTTTAAATTTTGTACACGCTGAAGTAGAAGAATTAAAGAAAGGTGGCACCGCACACAAAGAGTCTGCTGAAGAGTTGAAAAGCAAAGTGCAAATGCTTCTAAACGAAAACACGAGGCTCAACAATAGCGTGATTGATCTAAAAGCGAGATCGATGCGTGATAATCTGTTGTTCTTCAACATTGATGAACCCACAGGAGAGGAAAAAGAAGACACTACGGAGATCATTCTGGCGTTATTGGAAGATAAACTGGAGATTCCCGATGCGCGCAACAAGGTAAAGATTGATAGGTCCCACCGATTGGGCCCAAAGCGCCGAAATACGCAAAGTGGTCAACAGCGACAGCAGACCACCAACAAGCCCGACCAATTGTCGTGAAATTCAATTATTTTCAGGACAAAGAATATGTTTTGAGAAACATGAAACAATTAAAGGGCACAAGAATTGGTGTTTAAGAGCAATTTCCCGAAGAAATCGAGCGCGAGAGAAAGAAATCACCCCGTCATGAAGGAAGCGAGACAAGCGGGTAAGCATGTGAGATTGGCTCGTGACAAACTGTACATTGATAGGCATCTATATCGTCCTATTAACTCTTAACTCTAGAACATTTACTGTTAGGCCTCATTATAAATTTCCTTTTTCTAGGAATACTTTAACTATATTAGAAATGCCATTTCACAAACATGAATTTCAGTACTCATACACACTAACAAGCAGTTTGCGCAACATACTGTTTTTTTATTATCAACGTATTTGGTGGTCACGCAACATGCAGGTCACGCAAAGTGCAATTTTTGTTCACTCAATTAATACATCTTGAGTTTATGCGTCTCCAGAAATGTGGAAATGTGATTAAAATGTACAACTTTATTCATGGCTAGCTCAAGAAATAATATAAAGAAATGCCGTTCTTGCTGTAAGTCAATTGAAGCGCACAGTAGATGTCTCAAATGTAACACATGTCAAAAATGGCTCCATGCGTCTCAGAATTGCGTCAAAACACACTTTGCCTATGATGCAAAGGAAATTGAAATATGTCATATATGTTTAAATGAATCGTTGCCGTTCCAATCACTAAATGATGAAGACTATGAGTTTACTGTTAAAAACAACACTGATGAATTTAATCCGTTTAGCGACTTAAGACTCGCAGACGCTGCAAGTCTATTAAAAAGAAATGAGTCAAACCTTGGCGACCTGGTAGATAATGAAAACATTGACTGCAACTATTTCTTACCAAACGAATTTGCAGAAAGATTTGCTGGAAAAAATATTGAGGATAATTTAAAATTAATGCACTTAAACATAAGAAGCATATCAAATAAATTTGACTTGTTCAATCACATGCTGGGATCTTTGAATACTAATTTTTCAGTTATTGGATTAACTGAGACATGGCTTCATGATGATAATCAAGATAATTTCTCATTAATGTCCTCACCGTTTAATATATATATATATATATATATACTCTATATACTGTATTTTTTATCTGCGAAGAGCTGGGTGCTGAGCGGTTCCCAGGGCATATACTCGTATTGAAAAGCTGGATCTTGGGGAAAGTCGATTAGGACATATACTGATTTGCAGCTGGGTCCTAATCTGCCTAAGACATATACTTTTACGGATTTGAGCTGGGTCCTGAGTCGGCTAGAACATATACTCCATTTAGAGCTGGGTCCTAGCCTGCCCTGCAAGACATATACTCTGAGCTGGGCCCTGGGAAAAAATGATCAAGGAAATATTTCTTAGAACACTGATCTGGCTCAGCACATATACTCATATGCAGAAATAGAATGATTTTTGTAAATGGGAATTGACTGTATGCCAGGTTGCCAAATTCCGTAAAGAAAACGTGAGGGCTATGATAAAATTGCGACCTCATACTAGAGCAATTGCCTAAAATACTTCATTCTTTATTTATTATTTTATTAAATACATAATAACATTGATATAACAGTCTAGTGAATGTTGATAAGCGTTTAATATCAAACGAAGATAATATTTATATATAGATCTAAATATAGTTCAATGTTCCCGAGAATTCAATATCACTCCCTAGGCGGGCCCATAACATACCGTAATTACTTCCATGTACCATCTTGTACCATCTCGTTACATCAGGGAAAAGGCTGGAGCATGGGGTGGTTGGTGGGTGACTCTTTAAATCAGTCTTTACAGCTCGCAATCCAAGTAAGAATGATATACCCACCCCTGGCCAAATACTTTACAAAAGGATACCGTTCAGTTGTCACATATGCCGGTCCTTTACAACTTCTGTGACATGAGTTTGATAACGTATTGTGAAATTTTCTGCAGTCTAAAGTTTAATATTGTCTACACATGTACTTTCTTTGGGAGATACCATGCATTTGTCTCCCTGCAAATTGGAAAATGATCAAGATTGTGACTCTGATTGATTCACAAATTGTATTGACATTGCTTTTTAGTCTCCAATATTTCAGTGAGTCATGCTTTGGAAATGACCATTAATTATTATTACCCAACTCTTGAGTTGTTTTGTTTTTCATTTACCCAACCCTTTACTTACTCAAAATTTTGTTTACCCAACCCATTTCTCTTCGGTGCCACCCCCGCCATGAATAATGACTGGTCCCTTATCGCAGTAAAACACAATTCGTTTTTGAGCCCATAAAGGTGCCCATATGTAGGAAGCTACCACAATAGCATAGAGCTCTTGCCAATCAATGCTGATATTTTTTGTGGTAAGTGTTTGGTACGTAAGGCAACCATTTACCCTGAAACCACTGGGTGCGAAAAATTCCCCCAAAACCAAGGGTCCCGGAGGCATCCGTATAGAGAGAAAGGTTTGTAGAATTTTCCCAGAAAGAGTTGAGAAATAAACTTGTCCCATTCCTGTCTTTAAGAAAAAGTTGCAACATTTTTACATCTTCGCGAAAACCATTCGACAAGCGAATGTGATGATGTGGTTTTGGAGACACCCCGTGTTAGATTTATTATACGTTGCAGAAAAGCTCGACCCGGGGCAATTACTTTGCATGCAAAATTTAATGTGCCAATTAGTGATTGGAGCTCTTGGAGTGTAGATAACTTTTTTGTGTGCCACGAATTTAAATCAACAAATAGACGGTTTAATTTATCGGATGGAAAACGAGCCTCCATCTTTTGTGAGTCAATGATAATGCCTAGAAATTCTATAATAAGACTGGGTCCTTCAGTTTTATGTTCTGCAATAGGAACACCTAACGTGCGGAATGTTAACAACATGCTAGAAAAGCTAGTTTGGCATGCTTGAGAAGGTAGCCCAGTTTGGGCCGGTGGTTCCATGATGAGAAAATCGTGTAGAATGTGCCCAACGTAGCTGATAAAACAATTGTTGAGTAAAATCCATTCAAGTGCATCCGAAAGTTGATTGAAAATATACGGCGCACTACGCAGACCAAATGGCAACACTTTGTCAAAATAATAGGACTTGTTCCAATATATGCCTAATAACTCCCAGTCGTCAAGATGAACAGGGAATTGACGAAAAGCAGATTCTATGTCAGTTTTGCTAGATAAGTGCCTCTGCCTAATCGGATTAAAGCCGCAATTGCGTCGTCGATTTTTATGTACTGCAATGAAAAGTCGTCTTTCTCGATAAAGAATTGATTGATTCTCCCGTTTTTGGAAACGAGAGGTGAAAAATGGTTCGGAATTTATCTGAATGCTTTTTAGGTACAATGCCAATCGGCGAAACCTGTAAATTAGCAAATGGGGGATTGGTGAAAGGACCAGCTGTGTGGCCAAGAGCAACTTCCTTAGCTAAGTTAGTTGAAACAATAGTTGGATTGTCAATGGCAAACTTGAGGTTTTTCGAAAATTTTGACATACGAGGACCATCGTAACCGAGACGAGCACCGAAACGCAAGTCTGAACAGAGTTTCAAAACGAATGATGAATTGGGATGCCCACAAAGAGCACCTTCAAGCGTGTCAACGCGAATTGGCGTAACTATAGTATTATCTAAAGGTATTGAATTCTACTATAATATATACTACACTTTAATCTAACAGTTCTATTTTCTGTTGGTCTTCGCGGAGCTACGGGCGGATTATGAAGGGTGGTCGTCGTTGTGATCGTTTTCCTCACGGGATTGTGGACATTGGTACCCAGGATGGTTCCCCCCACAGCCAATTCGGTTACATCGGTGAGTGTAAGGGCAATTGGGTCGTAATGGGCAAGGTCTACCCCTGTTGTAGCTGTGGCAAATTCCGTCCCTCGCTGCCCCAGATTTGTTTGAGGGTCCGTTAGAAAAAAGGGAATAAGCTTCCCGCAACTGAGTAGAGCTAGCGGTGAAAATACGCAACCATAACTGCATGTCAATGTTGGCCCACGACAATGTTCGACACCCGGCGGCTTTATAGCGAAATTTATGGTCGTATATGCACCAGCCTAAACCGCCATGCGTTTTTGCCGCATGACGGATAGCTTCCATGTACTGTAAAAGTTCTGATGCACGATTTGGACATTCTTGGTTAGGTGGAAAACGCGGACATGCGGACATGCGGACACGAAGTCAAGTGGAAAACGCGGACATGCGGACATGCGGACACGCAAGTCAAGTGGAAAACGCGGACACGCGGACATGCGGACACGCAAGTCAAGTGGAAAACGCGGACATGCGGACACGAAATTTACTAAACTTCAAAAAATCTATTACGACAATAATTCATCATTTTCGCGTGATATTGAAAGTTATCAATGCCGAGGTTGTGTTTTTCTCTCTCTTTTCTCTGTCTTAGTTTGTAAGCTCGTTTAGTGTATTTCGCTTCTTTTTTTAGTTACAAAAACAAATCTCGCCATGGGCCATGGCTTTATATGTTCTGCATGTCAAGAAGCTCGTTTTCTGCTTGCAGAATTGATGTCATATTTACATTCAGAAAGCTATATCTGCAGGTGTGATGCCATAATTAGACAATCAAAATGGAAATTGCATAGGAAATAATGACTGAAGATCGATTTTGGATTGTTGCGCGAACTTTTGCTGTTTTCATGTATTTTACTTACAGTATCGAAGATTCTGAAAAATCCATTCAGAATCTTTACAAAATACAAAACAACGGCAATTCAGAAAACGGTTTCATATATTCAAGTTTCAATGATGATACTAGGTTATATTTTATAAGTGAGGAATCACAGAGTAATTTGATATACATACACATACGTATATATTATCAGGTCTTTTGATCATTTACTTCCCTGCTTCAAGGTTAAGTTCTCAGTGCAAAATTGTAGCTGATCATGACTAACTTGTGATTGCCGATCAAAAGAGTGGAACCTCTCAATACAGTCAAATCATTTACAACTAACTCATTGTTTTAACTCTCGTGACAAAACTCATTGTTTTACTAGTGCCCAAGATCCTGGCCTGTGCTATAGTCTCATTTATTTTTTTATTTCTTTAGACTCTAGCCCCAAAGCCAAAGCATTGTTTTATTATTTTTGAATTGCTCGAAAACAGCTAATTATGCCGACCATCCTCGTAAGCCCCGTTTACACGATCAATTTTTATGTGGCAATTTTTCATATTTTTATGTGAGAAATGTATTTGGTCGTGTAGATGAGAAAACAATTGAATAATTGTTGATGCACTTGATTCCTGTTTAAAAAATATCTATGAAGAGCGCAATAAAACATGGCACGGACACTAATTATACTTTAACAAATATGGCGGGAGAAAAATATGACATTTTATGTGACAAGTAATCTACACGAGCAATTTTTCGTATGTGACAACTTTTATTTGTCATATAAAAGCTAACGCGCTAGCTTTTCAGCAACTGTATTTGCCAATTGCCACACAAAAAGTGCCCAATTTTCCTCGTCTACACGAGCAAATAAAAATTGTCACATTAAAATTGCTCGTGTAAACGGGGCATAACTGTCTATTATGCTTCTGAAGCCCTATTATGCTCGAAATTATGCCGGCATAATTTACCCAAGCCTAGTCTGTAATCTATTAAGTTTCAGGTTGTCCGGAACAAGCGGTAGGAAGACATTCTGCCCTTAAAATAGAACCCTTTCAAATGAATTAAATCTTCATTCAGACAAAAATTTCCCTGTAAAATTTGACAGAATTTTAGCATTGAAGCACACTTACTCGGCTAAGTTGAATGCACTTAATTAAACAAATGAGTTAACTTTCGGTGCTATAAATATAACTCAAGTTATGATAAGTATTTAAGTTTTGACGCTCTCCAATATCCCTCGCTTCAAGTGACAAAAAATTCGTTTTGATATAGATATATTTCCTGACCTTCGGCATATTTTAACCCACGACCTTTAGCCAAGCTCATTAATTAATCACCTATTGTGAGGAAGGATTAAAAAGGATTAAAGGAGGTGCGAAGTGTCAAAATGGACGTAGCCCGCGTGCAGGCCCAAGGGAGCAGGCTCAAGGGAACTTGATAGTGGGCCTGCAAGCAAGGCCCGGTATTTTGTACTTTCCGCGTTCGCCCACGAACGCGGCATTCTGATTGGCTGTTTGTTGTTGAATTCTATAATTAGGTCAGTGATTCATCACAAAGGCATAGACAAAGGCTCTCGATAAGCTTAAAATTCGAAAATTGATCACTTTTTTCAATTACAAATGAACAAGAACAGACTGTTTATTGTTTACTTGAAGGAAGAGATGTTTTTGCCGTTATGCCAATGGGGACTGCTTGTCGTAAGGTGTTGGAATAGCAACATTACGACTGGGGTAAACTCTAGTAACCTTTACTTGAGTTTCATTAATTTCAAACAGACTTGATACCTTATATGTTCCCCAAGAAAATGATCTTTTGGTTGATGTTGAGATTCAGTTGCATGTAAGCCTATTCAAAACACTTTGCGATTTACAAGGCTTCGCTGAGAGAGCGAAACAGAAGACGGTATTAAATTGCCGTTTGAAACGAAACGATCTGGACTCTGAACGATCTCTTCTTTTGTAGAGTTATTTACCAAATGAAATAACTAAAATAAATTTCGTACTTTCCGCCGCCAACAAGAATTGCACACACGATCTGATAAGTGAGACAATTTATTTATAACAATGGCGACAGCGAAGCACACATAATATAAATGCTGATGTGGTCGCACGACTTCCCTCACGATTTGAAGTTTGAGACTGGTTTTCTGTTGAAATTCGTCTTAATTTGCCTGTTCCGATTTTAGTTGAAAATGAGCACCGGCAAATTTGTCAATTACTGACGGCGTTGCTTGCTTTTTTGGAGTTAAAACGCAGCCATTTAGACATTGTTTATGTTCTGAATAAGCAGAGAAAACCCCGCAACATTTTAATGCGAGTTTGTTTGTTAATATTTGGGTGCTGTCATTGGTTCTTTTTTGACAATTGACGCGCGAATGGGGCGTGTTATGAAAAGGGGCGTTCTACAAAATACCGGGCCTTGCTTGCAGGCCCACTATCAGTTCCCTTGGGTCTGCACGCGGGCTAAAATGGACGGGCATTCTATACAGGGTGTATAAAAAGAAACGCAACCTCGGAATTTCCCAAGAAATCGACATGGTTTTAAAGACAAAATATTTTAGGCGCCTGGGAATTTAAAATAGCACAACTGTCAAAATTATTGCACGCGAGTGCATAAATCAAAATTTACGATTTATTTAATGCACAACAACAGTAATATGATCTATTAGCAATTCGATTTCAATTCCCAGGGGCTTAAAATCTTTTATGCTTAAGAATTGCAAAGTGATTTCTTAGGAAATTCCGAGGTTGCGTTTTTTTTTTATACACTCTGTATCATAATAATGATCCCGACGAATAAATAGTTGCAAAACTATACCTGCGCGTGCGATCAACTGTACCCCTAGTGTTGATCGGCAATCACAATTAAGTTAGTCATGATCAGCTACAATTTTGCACTGAGAACTTAACCTTGAAGCAAGGAAGTAAAGCATCAAAAGACCTGATAATATATACGTATGTGTATGTATATCAAATTACTCTGTGATTCCTCACTTATAAAATATAACCTAGTATCATTCGTGATGACAATTAAAACATATGTAGTTGAAACTTGAATATATGAAACCGTTTTCTGAATTGCCGTTGTTTTGTATTTTGTAAAGATTCTGAATGGATTTTTCAGAATCTTCGATACTGTAAGTAAAATACATGAAAACAGCAAAAGTTCGCGCAACAATCCAAAATCAATCTTCAGTCATTATTTCCTACACAATCTCCGTTTTGATTGTGTAATTATGACATCACACCTGCAGATATAGCTTTCTGAATGTAAATATGACATCAATTCTGCAAGCAAAAAACGAGCTTCTTGACATGCAGAACATATAAAGCCATGGCCCATGGCGAGATTTGTTTTTGTAACTAAAAAAAGAAGCGAAATACACTAAACGAGCTTACAAACTAAGACAGAGAAAAGAGAGAGAAAAACACAACCTCGGCATTGATAACTTTCAATATCACGCGAAAAATGATGAATTATTGTCGTAATAGATTTTTTGAAGTTTAGTAAATTTCGTGTCCGCATGTCCGCGTTTTCCACTTGACTTGCGTGTCCGCATGTCCGCGTGTCCGCATGTCCGCGTTTTCCACCTAACCGAAATTTTTGTACTATGATTAACATATACGTGTTGAAAGCGGTTGTCCACTCTTCAATGTTAGTCAGCACTTGAGGCTTGCGCGGTGTTAATGAGATTCCCGTAGAGGAAATTGTGAAACCCACGTTGTCAGAAGAATCGGAACCAACATTTAACTTATTTAAATTTTTTGGCAATAATTTAGCAAGCTCAAAAAACTCACCACTTTCGATGTCACGAACGTATTTGTTTGGAATCTCTGGCGTGAATCCCCCCATCTGCTTGCTGGATTGAGGCAACAGGTCCATGGGATGAAGTCGGCTGCTGCTGGAGCTCGCTGGAACTTAAAAATGGAAATTGACCAAGCTGTTCTAGCCTTTCGAGTGGCGTTGGCGGTGGCGGGATAGTTGGCTGCTCATCTACACGAGTCGCGGTTGCTGTGCCGTGTTGGCTTTCGAAGAACGACGAGATCGACTGCGAAACAATCTGCGTAATCTGTGCCAGTTGGTCGGCGCTGAAGCTTTCCCTTGCGTTGGAATTAGATAACGTGTGGTTTATGTCTCAATCAATTCCATGCGTGCCCAACCCCTCCCCGGGCGTTTGTCGGGCATTTGTCATTTTGGCAAAAAACGTTGCAAATGCCACACTATGGGGTCCAAATAATGCAACAAAATCCCCACCCTTGGGGACTTACATTGACGCAAATGCCCCACCCTTGGGGGACAAAATATAAGTTTTCTGAGGATTTCTGATCCAAAAAATCGAATGCAAGCTCTATCACGTATCAATATATCTGTAGCCATTTAATTTCAAAACGTTTTTAATTAAAATATTGAAGTCTCAAAATTTTATATAGCCATATCGAACTGCGGAAGTAAGTCAATGTATCAAAAGGATGGACAAGAAAAAAGTGTTTGTGTGTATGTTCGCCATGATTAATTTGCAATACGCACGCACGTGTAAACATGCGTACTAAAGTACGGCTAAATGGCGAAACAAGGGATAAATCAGTTCGACTTTTTAGCCTCGAGCAAATTCCCCACCCCGGGGCTAACCTGCAGGAAGCAAATGCCCGACCCTGGGAACAAGTACAGTTGGGCAACCATAAAATTGATTGAGACATTACTGGAACGGTTTGAATGTTGGATTGCGGCGTATTCGTGCTTAGACGTTCTCTTTCGTTTTGTAGACGCGTTGTAAGTACCCGTCGGCCGCCAGCGCAGGAAAAGTTGAGTTCGCGGCAAAGGTTCTTCAACTCTAAAATTGATAACTCGCCCAAGTTGCTCGGTACTTCGACGGACGGTTGAGTGCTGGACGGTCGTTGATCCTGCTGACGAACTCGTGATCGTGGTTTGCTAACTCTTGGAATTATTTTTGGTGTACGTTTAGAAACGATAAACGTGAAACGATTAATTTTTTAAATGACTCTTTAAATCAGTCTTTACAGCTCGCAATCCAAGTAAGAATGATATAGGCAGATAAAGCTAACTCGGATATCTGCCCATGTTTAACTATAGTTTCATTGTTATAGTTATGAATAGGTCAAACATAGTGGTTTGGACAATAATTAATAAACGATACTGGGTGCAGTAGCCTACGGGTTTGGCAAGCAAATAATGAATATCTGTGATAGAGTCTTCCTTTGTTTAGACAATAGTAGCTTTCGAGTTGGCTTAACATAGACATTTTAAATCTATAATTTTTAGGTCTAGCGCATTGAGTATCGTCCATTAACAATAATTTTTACTCGTAGAAATTACCATTTAAAAAACTATGATTTTGTGAATGTAAACAGAAAACTTAAAAAAGGTGGTGGAGTGGGTATTTATATTTCACAACATCTTAAATATAAAACTAGGAATGATCTGAATGCCACTGAAGAGGACATAATTGAGTCTATGTTTATTGAAATACCCACAAAAGTTAGTAAAAATATTATTGTTGGGGTGATTTATAAACCACCGAATAGTAAATTTGATGAGTTTGAAAGAACACTGAATGAAACATTGTCCAAAATTGATAAAGAGAATAAAACGTGCTATCTCATGGGTGACTTTAACGTTGATATGCTAAAAAATGAAACGTGCGATTTTGCAAATAGACTTACACAAAATCTTTTTACATCGTTCTATTTTCCCTAGCTTAATTACAATGCCTACAAGAATTACTTAACACACTGCGACTCTAATTGATAATATATTTTCGAATGACCTAGAGAAAATTAATTACAGTCAAAATGGTTTAATTTTTAGTGACATCTCAGATCATTTACCTATATTTCATATATGTGGAGTAAACAAAAAAAATACCAAAAATAGAAAAAACACTAACATAAAATATAGGAGAATGATAAATAGAGCTAACCAATTAAAATTTATGGATAGGATTAAATCTATATCTTGGGAAAATGTACTATCAAACTCTAATGCTGGAGTTTCATTTGACAATTTCCTTAATATATTTAAAGATAATTATGACGCTAGTTTTCCACTTAAGAAAATTAATCCGAGAAAAATTGATACAGTTAAAAGTCCGTGGATGACAATGTCCATCTGTAAATCTGTACAAAATAAAAACTCACTTTATAAGAAATTTCTAAAAAATCCTACTGAACGAAATGAAAAAAATTATAAAAGATTTAAAAATAAGTTGAAACATGTAATTAAAATTGCCAAAAAACTACACTATGAAGAATTATTCATAAAATATAAAAACGATACTAAAATGACATGGAAGACCATTAATATACTATTAAATAAAAAATTAAAAACTAAAGAATTACCTAACAAATTCATTGCAAAAAACTCAGGCGAATCAATAACAAACCCTTCAAAAATCGCTGATAAATTTAATGAATATTTTATAAATATTGGACCACAATTGGCCAGCAAAATAAATGGAAATTTGGAGACTTCAATTAAAAAATATCTTACGGGAAACTTCATGAACAGTATGTTTCTAAATCCAATAACTGAAAACGAAATGATAAGTGAAGTAGCCCTGGGCATGACGAAATCAATGCCAAAATCATTAAAACTGTCGCAACAGACATTAGTCAACCACTTACCCATATATTCAACCTGAGTTTCGCAACAGGTTTTAATCCCTGAGCAGTTAAAGTTGGCCCTGGTTACTCCTATTTTTAAAGCGGGTGATAAACAAATATTTGAAAATTACAGACCTATTTCCGTCCTGACGTGTTTCTCTAAATTACTAGAGAAACTTATGTACAAAAGACTAATTAGTTTTATTAAGAAAAATAAAATACTAACAGAAAACCAATATGGTTTTAGGCGTAATAAATCAACAGAAATAGCAATTGTAAATCTTGTTAGCAAAATTACCAAAGCAATTGATGAAGGTAAATATACAATAGGAATTTTTCTTGACCTATCAAAAGCTTTTGATACCGTCGTTCATGATATTTTATTAAAAAAGATGAAGCATTATGGAATAAGAAGGGCTTGCTTTAACGTGGTTTAAAAACTATTTAATGAATAGAAACAGATTGTGAAATTCAAGCACGAAAATTCTAGAGAAATGAAAATTACAACTGGTGTTCCCCAAGGAACTGTTCTTGAGCCATTACTTTTTTATTATACATAAATGACATACAAAACTGCAGTGATGTTGTTTCATTTGTCCTGTTTGCAGATGATATACAAACGCATTCTATTCTAATTCGAGCATTAATATAGCAAAAGAAACAATGCAAAGAGAGATGAATGAAATACTTAAATGGTTAAACACAAATAAACTCTCTATAAATACAACTAAAACAAAATTGATCCTTTTCAGAGCACGCAATAAAAAGCAACTAACTGAAATTGATATTAAAATAAATGACCAGTCGATCGAACAAGTGAAATGTACAAAATTCTTGGGTGTTCTAATCGATGAAACACTCACATGGAATAATCACATTGGTTCAGTTTTAAAAAAATATTTAAATCAACCGGAATTATTTCTAAAATTCGGCATTATACGAATCAAAATACATTAAAATTGCTTTACTATGCCCTTGTCTATCCTTATCTCACTTACGCTAATTTAGCTTGGAGTAACACGTGCCCTTCAAAATTTCAAAAATTGATGAGTGTCCAAAAGAAGATTGTGCGTCTAATCGCTTTCAAACCGTATTCTGAGCACACGGAACCATTATTCAAAAAATTAAATCTATTAAATATTTACAAAATAAATGATTATTTGACCAGTTTATTTATGTTTCAATTTTACAACATGAACAATATGCCCGAAATTTTCAACAATTTTTTCAAAACTAATAATGAAATTCATAATCACAATACTAGAAGTTCCAAAAAACTACATAAAACCTACACACGAACTAATTATATGAAACATACTCTCTCCAATAAAGGAGTAGATATTTGGAATAATTTGAACGAAGGTTTAAAATCCATCCAATTTTACCAATCGTTCAAAAAACAAGCTAAAATTTATTATCAAACACAAGAATCAGGGACGCCGGAACGATAATAGGGCAAAGGGGGGCGGACGCACACCAAGGGCACCTTTACTGAAAAAAAATTTTGGTCAGTGTACCATTTTAGGGGTCAAAAATTTTTTCCGGACATGCAAAAATTTTCCGTGAACCCAAAAATTTTTCCGGATATCTTAAATTTTCGCCATTTCTTCAAAATATTTTTCTAAATTCCAAAAACTTCCCAAAATTTTTATAAATATAAACTATAAATTACCTGAATCTCGTGATTTTCCTACAAAAAGCATCGTTGGAAATGTGATTTATCACGTATTATTTTACAACTAAAAGGGCACTTCTGCCCCCCCTAGCAAAAGGCAAGGGGGCAGCCGCCCCCCCTGCCCCCCCCCAGTTCCGGCGTCCCTGACAAGAATAATAATAATACAGCATTATATTATATTATTCATGGACGTCTAAAACAATGTAGGGTAAAAACAATGTTTCCATCATCATGCACTCCTAACTTCATATTTGTTGTATATCTATATTATTGTAAAACTATATCACAACTTTCTTTAAAATTTTATGTACTATATATTAACTGACAAATAGCTATCGTTTGAATTTAATATTTGCTGTAATAGGGGCCTTGCACTAAAAGCTTCTTAAAGTTTCTTAAAGGCTCCTAGCTCTAGTATTCAACAGACGTTATACTGTATATTCTATCTTAATTATGTAAATAGGGCGAATTTTTAAATAAATAATAAATAAAATCGCGTATAATATTAAAAGCACCGCATATAGTGCTCGAACCACTGCGTATAATTGCAAAAGCATCGCGTATATAAATGGTGAAAGCACCGCGTATAATACTGGAACCACCGCGTATAATGGCGAAAGCACAGTGTATAATGCCAAAAGCACCGCCGTATAATGCTAAAAGCACCCAACAAAATGCCGTTTGATCACTTTAAGCCAGCTATGGCTTTCCATAAAAGAAGACCAAAGATGAAAGATGATCACATTGCCTGTTTGCCTTATGCCTGACCGCGCTGCACCACGGTTAAAATTCGCTGGTACCGTCATGCAATGCGCCAAATAGAAAATTTTGATTTCGACCCACAAAACAAAATTAGGATCTGCTGCCTTGCTCGCTCGCTTCAGGCTCGCTCGCTGCGGCAGCAAATATACAAGTAGTCAAAATCTATATACTTTTAGTTTATTTGTTTGTGTGGTGATGTCCAAAGGCGATAGTTTAATTATAGTGTTTATTCTACATGTTTATAGCAATGTGCTTTCAGCACGTTTTAAAAACAACGTGGAATGTTGAGTAGCAGGGCTTAATGATCAGGCTTAATATTATAAAGTTATCCCTATACTATAGTATAGCAATCCTGTGTGGATTGTTGTCTGCAAGGGCGGATTTTCATTTTATAAAAGGAGGGGTGGCACAATATTTTCTAGGGGGGTGCAAGCAGCACCACCAAGCTTCAGCAGGGGTTAGGGTTAAAGACTTTAACACTAAGTAAGAGGGGTGAAGCGAAATTTTGGGGGGGTTGAACACTTTATAACACCTTGGGGTTAGAGAGGGGGTTAACCCCAACTAGCCCTCAGTACATCTGCCCATGGTTGTCTGCACATATTAACTCACCAGCAGTTACATGTAATAACATGTCAACCGACTTTTGTACAAGGTATGGCAGTCTGTAAAGATATATTTCTGAGATACCCATTGTCAGCATTAATATTAAATAATCCTACCGGCTTACATAATATATACATATTTTAACCTATTTTAACATATTTTATCGTTATCAGTTTCTGTGGAATGGCATTTTCGAAAGCCAGATTGTTGTTTGACAATGATGTTATTGTCATTTAAATGAAAAGCTAATTGGTACAGAAATTGGTCTACAGGGTGTATAAAAAAAAGCGCAATCCTCGACTGAAATGTAAATTGCTAAACAAATAATAGACGAAAACGTTAAAGTTTACATTCATTTTAAAGCGTAGCCATTCAGCTTTCTAACAGTGGGTTGTTTCTTAAATTTGACTCATTGGTTCGCGGGTAATAATACTTTACGTTATTGCGATTGGAGATTAAAAAATTGAGATGGAATAACAAATCGTTCTCATGAAAATAACTGATTTTTTCATTAAAACAAAAAAATGTTGCATTTTATTAAATGGATTGTAACAATAAGTATAATTACGGCTTTTCTTCCACTATTTTTAACTCAGTTTGAAACTTCAAATGCGATATAATTTTGGCTTGGACCATCTAAGTTGACTGACATCAACTTGCTATAA